TCCCTCTCCCCCGCGCGCAGTATGGCCGCTCTGCACATTCCCACGTCGCGCGCACTCGCCCTCATCTCGCTGCCCGAGCTGCCCGTGCAGCGCGAGCGCCGCGAGACGGCGGGCGTGTGTACGAGGTTTGCCAGGAGCTGGTGAGTTTGCTCTGCCCCCGTCGAGAGTCGAGAGGCAATCATGTCACGTGGGGAGAGGAGGGAGGGGCGCGGGGGCCGGGGCGCAGAGAAGGAGGAAGCAGAGAGGCGAAGGGACGGGAGGAGGAGAAAGAGAGAGGAAGATGGGCAGGAAAGAAGCTCTCCCCTCTCTCTACATTCTCTGTGTTTTGCTCGCGCGATGGAGAGAGAGCAAGGACGAGCATTCCAGCCTCGCCTTCTGTGCCTTCTAGGCGTCGTCCGTCAACGTCTTTTTCCCCCGCTTGCTTCTCCCCCCCCCCCCCTCCCTCCTGTCCCCTTCTTTCCTCCTCTTCTCGCTGACTCTCCTCGTGTGGCAGGATCCGCATCGGCTCCTTCCAGCTGCAATCGGCGCGCGGCAACTATGCCGCCGTGCTCTCGCTGGCGCAATGGACGGCGCGCATCGGGTACGAGTGGGACCTTGGCGACGGCCAGCCCTTCGTGCGCCGGCTGCTCGACGAGGCGGCCCGACGCATCGCGCGCACCACGGGCATGTGGCAAGTGGCCGGCTTTCTGCATGGCGGTGAGTTTGGTCTGCCGGGCAAGGAGGGTGGGAAGAGAGAGAGAAAGGCGTGAGATGCGGTCGCCAAGGAAGACGCAAGCGTGTCTTTCTTCGTACGCGCCTCGCGAACGAAGAAGCAGGCCGGGCGAAATCGTCAAGGTCATGCCCCTCTTCACACGACCTGACACCACACCGCTCCCTCTCGCTTCCCTCACTCCGCGACCTTCTCTCCGGCCTCCTTTGCCCGGCCCCCCCGCCTTCGCTCGCGCGCTTCGTCTTTCGCAGTGATGAACACGGACAACATTTCGCCCTTGGGCCTCACGATCGACTATGGCCCGTACGGCTTCATGGATCTGACCGATCGCAATGCAAGCTCGAACAAGAGCGACGGCGAGGGAAGATATACGTGAGTCTCTTGTGCTTTTGTGTGTGTGTGTGAGGCTCGGCTCGCCTCGCCTTCGGCGCTCCTTTCACCTACGGAGGCGCGCGCCCCCGCTCTGCTCCGCCCTTGCGCCAGCTCTGCTTGCCATGCCCGACTGTGCTCGCTACGCTGCGAGGCGTCGGGGCAAAAAACCTCGGGGTACGCCAAGAAAACGTCGCTTAAAAGGGACGCATCGAGACGTGCCGAACTCGCTTTGCCGCTCATCTAAGCCCAACGCAACCTGCACTTTGCGCTCCCTCTCGAGCCCTCATTCCTCTCCCCCCACTTCCGTCTGATCCAGCTGATCTCCCACGCTGCCCAGCTATCGTCTGCAACCCTCGGCGGCCCTCTTTGCCATGGAGCATCTGCTCTTCTCCCTCTCTCCCCTCGTCGCTCTCGAAGGCAAGCTTTGCCGCGCCTTGGCTGCCTCCGATCTCGACGCTCTCTCCTCTAACGAGCTCGAGCAGCTGTCCGACGAAGGCGAAGAGCTGGCGCGCGAGCCGCTCAAGCAGCTCTTCATGGGCACGCTGCGCGAGCAAGTCAACGTCGGCTGGCGAGCTCGTCTCGGCCTCACGCACGCTGTCGAGGGCGAGTACGAGGCGCTTTTCGATCCTCTGCTCGACGTTCTCGAAGACGTCGACTTCGCCACCTCTCTGCGTGCCCTCTGCGACTTCCCGCCGCTCCTCGCCGAAAAGCAGCGCGAAGAGGCAGTGCAGCTGTTCACGCGCGAATGGCTCGACATCGAGGCCCTGCCGCACTATCTGCGCGCCGAGAAGACGAGGGTGGTGCAAGACTGGCTGGCCAAGTATGCCGAGCGCCTTAGCAGCGAGGCCCGTCCGGGTGACGTGGTTAGCGAGGAGATGAAACAGGTGCGTGTTGTGTGTGTGCCTTTGTGTCCCCCCC